GTAATTCAGTGCCTTCGTTGTGGGTTGAGGCGCCGCGGACTGTACGAGAGATGGTAGACGGAGCGCGGTGAAACTGATCGGCGATCGACTCAAGCGTACGGCCGTCCTCGTACGCTTGTACAATCCGACCACGCTCGTATGGGGTAAGATTAGGGCCTCGTGCGCGAGATCCGCTTGGTTGCGAACGTTCAATGGTTGGCGCCATGTTGTTATGTTAATGCAGAAAAGAAGGGTGAGATTTGACGACGTGGAGCGCGTTGAGTGGTTTGCGAAACTTCTGTCCGTGCACTGTATGACGCATGCGAACCCGAATCCTGCTTCGAGACGACTGCCAAGACATGCTTCCGGCAGAACACGCACGGACTTTTCTCTCCCGGTCTTGTTTCAAATCTAGCCACGAGGTGTCGTCTGTTTGTATTTCACGAGCTCGATCACGAAGGGATTTCATGGTCTGACGACGACGTACCGAGAAGCAAGATCTGCCCCTCGACGCCTGGAAAACTTCCTGGCCAGCGGACTTTGGTGCGGTGTAGCCAACCAGCGTGTCTACACTACGGCCCGTCGAGCTTCGCAAAGTCTGCTTTACCTGGGCAGGGCTTCGCTGCTTTACCAAACTATCGATGGCGCGAAGCCACGATATCTGAAGCAAATTTACGTTGCTATTTGGGCAAAAGCGACAGAGTGTTGTGTATCATTACTCTCTACAAGAGCTTCTCCCCTCCTGTCAAGATGCTCCTTGCCCTCTCGTTCGCATGAAAACCATGTCTCTCGACCAAAGTCGTCGACGGGCATCAGGCTCCGCAGAACTTCTCTGCACCGCTCGAATCGTTTAGCGTACACCTCTGGAGTCTCACATGTATCATGCCCTACGGCCGCAGCCTCTCTACCAGATATCCGATATCATCGCTTCCACAATTTCAGATGCGCTCAAGCTGGCTGGAGTGATTGTTTAGTAGACCCAAACTATGATCGAGTAATTGAGCAGTGGTGTGTCTGCGAGAGTCCCGAAGCTCATAATTCTTGATCTGGTTTAGCTGGCTCAAGGTTGGGTTGTTCTCGCATCAGATAATTCCAAACTGCTCGATGTCTTTCCAGCCATACCAGAACAGTCACTACTGATGTAAAGAGACCTGTCGCAGTCGCAACGGCTATTCTGGAAGATCGGACCATGCCTAAGCCCGTCAAGCGGGCGAACATTCCACCCCTTGGAGTAAAGGCTCCATATCTCGTCCTCTGGAAGCTTGCAGCAACGGAGCCTCACCTGGTGAGTCTGGGTTTGCAATGGATACTGTCAATTAACACACCTGAGAC